CATATGCGCTTGTGATTTAAAAAAATTGCTTTTACATTAAACTTGGTGCAATATTGTATTCATGTACTTTTTTTAAATAATATTTTTTCAGTAATTATGTGCCCTGTAATTAACCATAGAAAGTGTTTCATTTTTGAGAGGAGTTCAAAATTCTAAAATTGAATAAATAGGCTGAACTCTTTAGGCAGTCAAGAGTTAAAGAACTAAATAGCCATTTTGTTTATGATATTAGTTACCCACTGTACTTGTTTACTTATTGTAACAACATGTATTCTTCATTGTTGTTATTGTGGGTTCTTCAATATACTCATACGAGCAACAGTAGTTGTGAAACAATAACTTTATTTACACTTTGTACAGAGAATTAATAGATCCATAGTAAATCCATGGTCACAACTGGTATAAGTACAATCACAGTCAAGAAACAAAGTGTCGTAGTAACATCCTACATTCACAGCCACAGTCTTCAGGTTCAAGTTCTAGCACACAACAACCGTTCACCTTTTGCTCTCCCTTTTATTCACTCCTTTCTCTCCCCTTACGTACATGAGCGATCTCACCCAAAAACATGGATAAACACATGAGGATCGCTCAGACAGTCCTTCCGCTAGCCAGGTACTCTTCATTCATGCAACTTCATGTAAAACACAATAATATAAACATATCTAATTATACAGTCTGTGACACGTCCCCCCTTCAAATAAAATTTTGTGTAACAAAATTTATAAATACAATATTGGTAGGGCAGGACCATGTGCCAGACAACAAAAAATTGTGTACAACTCAAAGTAGAGTAAAATATATTCATTTTAGACTAAGCACTTGTAGTCATAAATTTATAGTGCATACAAATACAACAGTATGTAGTGACTATATCAGTGATAATTAAAATATGTCAGTGTTTTGAACAAAAACTTTAAATGTACAAGCATTATGTGTAATATATTCAAATATGAGAAAGAAAAACATTTCAATTACCCAGTAATTGTAGTATAAACAAGACAAATGAGTGTAATAAATTACCAAACCAGTCTGGTAAATGACTTAATTACCAAAACATAATACATAGTTGAAATTATCAAAGACTTAATTCAACTCATAATTTAAATAACTATTTCCTATGTAGTAAAAAAAACTTCCTTATCATCAAGGTATGTTATTACCACGCATGAGTAATATACTTTGTTGTCTCCCCTAGTCGACCCATTTCAGTCATATCTAGGTCACAACACAACAACATTGCCTTTCACAGGTATGACTAACACACAATTCATCATTGAGACTTCCGTCTTATTGTTATGCGGAATAATAGTCTCTAACTTTTACTTGATTTACTTTATTCACTGTTAATTAATAGTATAGAATAGGTTTAACATAATACAGTTTTCATTCTTTTGAAATATTACACAGTTTATATTACTGATACAAATTGTTTGATATCCATATTTTACAGTTACAGACTGTATAATATTAATGAACTGTCAATTGACAATTTAATCTTAGCATCCATGTTTAACTCAATAGCATGAGTAATCGTTCTCGTGCAGTTGACGATGACCCGTATGCCATCTCTCCCTCAAATTGTAGCTTTCAGCTTTGCTACCATAATCATTTCCTAGATTTCGTGTAACTTGTGTTACTTCATTTGTTTTAATATTCTCCTCTGGTTTCTGAACAACGTCAGTGGTTATCTTGCTTTGTGTATGTTGGTTTGGTTCATCAACCAACTCAATATAAATATTATGGCATTGCTTTGGCCTTTCATAATACATCTTGCTTCGGTATCTTTCATTAGAACATGATATATTCTTTCTTAAATTACTATATTTCCCACATGACTTTCTTTGTACATAATAATTGTTTCTTCTCTGATTTGCCAACCTATGCCAACATTGATTTTGGTAATGACCTGTTATTCCGCAGTAAAAACATCTAGATTTTGGCTTCTTATAAACATGGTGACTGTATTCATAGTTTGCTAAATTTCTTTTTCTTTCATTCTGTGCATTAATGACATTAATGACATTCTTATTAACATGTTGACTGTATTCATAGTTTGCTAAATTTCTTTTACTTTCATTCTGTGCACCAATGACATTGTAGTTTCTAGTTACTGTTTCATCTTTCTTAACTTCCTTGTGCTTCTTTATTGATTCTAGTTCACACATAAATTTATGTGTTAATTTCTCCATTTCTTTGTTAAATTTATTCTTGAGTTCTAGTATATCTTTTTTATAGTTTGACTCTAGATTTCTAAGTAACTCCTCAATAGGTACGTTCTCTTCATTGTGGCTTATTAAGTTCACTGATTCATTAATCATCATTAGTTTATCATGATTCCTGCCATTCTCCGATGGACTTATTAAATCATCACTGCCATTGACTGATGGGCTTATTAAATCATTTTGACTACCATTCTCTGATGGACTTATTTCTTTTTGACTGCCATTCTCTGATGGACTTACGATACAGCTTTCACTAATATTCTCGTGTACCTGCGTATCATTCAATAAAGAGTCAATCTTAAGACATTCTAATGTATCTGTCACCTTTAAATCATTATTAAGTTCACCCTCTGTTTTTTCCTTGGGTTTCAATTCTTCCTGGACTATGTTACTCTGTTCTTCATTCCAAAGGTTGCCAATATTTACTTCTTCAAGTTCTGCTTTTAATTCTATCTGTTCACTTTCTAATTTTGGTTCATTTGTGTCTGTTATAGCTTTCATTTCTAATAGTTCTTGTTCATATGCTAGTTCATGTAGGCCAACTTGTTTTTCCATAGTTTCAGCCCTTTTATCTGCTCTCTGTTTTCTGTTTCTTTTTTTCCGCTTTCCTTTTGGTTGTACAGTCTCTTCTACTTTATCTAATTCTGAAATGTCTTCTTCTTTATGCATGTCTGTAATAGCTCTTGATCTATTACACACTATTTCTATCACATCATCTAGTTCTCTCAATACATTTCCATGTGCTCGTCGGGGTTGGTCTGTTTCTTCGTCCCATGCTTCTTTTGCTTCTTCTATGTCTTTTTCAAGTCGATTGGTTGCCCAGGCTATCTGCTTATTCATCTTCTTAATGCCTTGCGCCCTCGCCATTTCCATATATTCTTCAAGTTCTGTTTCATGCTTGTGCTTTCTTTCATCATCTTCTATTTTCCAATTCCTTTCCTCTAACCTCCTAGCCCTCTCTTCTGCCTTCCTAGCCTTCTCTTCTTCTTTTTCTTCAGCTTTCGCCTTAGCAGCTTTCTCTTCATCTTTCTTTAGTAGTTCTTTTATAAATGCCAACCTGTCTTCCTTCGGAATGTCAAGTTCCTTCACAAGTGCTGTATATGTTTCAAAATTTGACATTTTGATATATTTTCTATGACATAAAATATAAATTCATTAGTTGACAATAGATAAATGTTAATTAATTTACAATACCCTTTCTTGTATTCTGGCTTTGTTCAGTTGATTAGAGACATCTAGTAATCCAAGAAAAGTTCATAGTACATATATAGTACAAAAATAGTTCACTTTGTTGATTCCAAAAAGTTGAAAAAAATTCAAAATAGTTCTAGTAGCCTGTTACAGAGTAGAAATTTGTCCAGTTTTAGATAAGACATCTTTAGGAACAGTTACAAAAATAAACTTGATCTGCTAAATCCAAACAGTAGAAAAACTTGAACAGCTAAATCCAAACAGTAGAAAAGAAACACTAAGACTTGATCGGCTAAATCCAAACAGAAAAAACACACAGACGATATTTACTCGACATTGGTGAGACAATATCGAAATAAGGTGATAAAAATTATCACGTTGATGACTTGACTTGAACAAGACGTCTGACTTGACTACAGCAACCCTTCTGACTTGAGTGTAGATAGATGACTTTCAAGAACTTGACGTACTTGGTAAACAGTGGAAGACCACTTCAAAAACGTTGAAAACTGCTTACAATGATAATGTGACAATTCTTGATCACTTGTAGTAACACTGTAACTTCGTTGACGATTTCAGACTTCAATATAATTTACCAATGTAACAACATCACTTCTTCAATTGCTTCTGACAATGTAACAGTAGAATCAGTAACAGTAGCACCACTTCTTCAACCACTTTTGACATCATATGTAACAGTAGACGCTCACTTCTGACACCATATGTAACAACATGTATTCTTCATTGTTGTTATTGTGGGTTCTTCAATATACTCATACGAGCAACAGTAGTTGTGAAACAATAACTTTATTTACACTTTGTACAGAGAATTAATAGATCCATAGTAAATCCATGGTCACAACTGGTATAAGTACAATCACAGTCAAGAAACAAAGTGTCGTAGTAACATCCTACATTCACAGCCACAGTCTTCAGGTTCAAGTTCTAGCACACAACAACCGTTCACCTTTTGCTCTCCCTTTTATTCACTCCTTTCTCTCCCCTTACGTACATGAGCGATCTCACCCAAAAACATGGATAAACACATGAGGATCGCTCAGACAGTCCTTCCGCTAGCCAGGTACTCTTCATTCATGCAACTTCATGTAAAACACAATAATATAAACATATCTAATTATACAGTCTGTGACACTTATTAATCTAAAATGTGTGTTAAATGTTTGTTTTCTGAACACTGCTCATATTTGTGGTTAAGGAATGTCCTCTAATAAAAGAGCTCAAAAAAAAAAAAAAAACAACTTTTGTGACTATTTGAACATGATAGATATCATCCATGTTATCTGTTGGATCAATTGGACAAGCATAAAATGTCATTTAAAAACATTTTGGTTGGAAATGAAGTTTTATTTCTCTTAAAGTCTAATTAACTAAATCCTACACACAAAGTCAGTAATGTTTTTTTAAATAAAAATTTTAATTTTTTTTTCTTACATTAATGTTTTTGAAACTTTTCATTAGATATGTTAATAATGATTATGGTGGGATTCAGCCCATTTACTAGTTATCTTGATGCATAAAAATAATATAAAAGCACTGCAAAGGAAATGAACAAGGAATAATTAGTTAAATAGGAAACATCAAATGACTTTTATTATCTTTAAAAAAAGTACATTATTGGTATCATTAACAAATTACATAGAAATTGTGTACATTTTATTTACATAACAAATATAATCACTTAACAAAAATTAAAAATAGACCAGAACATCTCAATATTTGTGAAAATCCAAACTTAAACTGATATATGAATAGACAATTCAAACAACAGATCTGGAATGCTGATTTGTTAAATTAGTAAGGCTGTTGACAGGAAGAGATGGGAATGATACCCAAGATTTATTTTAAAAAAAAACAATTATAAAAGACTTTTTAACACACTTTTAAATGCACAAAAACAATTTTTTTTTTAAAGTTAAAAGTCACAACCATGGTTGTGACCAGAAATTGGAAGATTTATGTAAGTTGGGCTGAAGCTGGAACTTGAACTACAGCACTTTCTACAGCAGACACCAATGTTGATACCTCTGCCATAGCTCCATAACCTTGGAAATTATTTGCTTAATAATTAATACTCTTGGAGAATATATTTACAAATAATATAGTTGATAAAAATTATTTAATTTCAGATTAAAAGCTGGTATATAAGGGCAGAATAATCCCAAAGACTAGTCCCTCTCAAATACCCCACACTTAATGTCAAGGAAAAAAGTGCTGAACACAATATAGTATTTGAAAAAGTACTGAAAATGTACTTTAAATTAGTAATAATTAATAGTTCTGGCATAAGTTAAAATTGGTTTTATAATATTATTGCTAAATTTAAAAATTAAACCTTTTTTTTTATAACTAGCTTTTAACTGCAATAAAAATATAATAAACACGCATTTCTTTAGCTATATTGTGAAGTGGGTCCCAAAATACAACTACTAACCTGTGTCTCCACAAGCAAGTTTCTTGGAAATGGATGGTATCTCTATGTAGCCCAAACTCTTCAATGACAGTATATGGCTAGAGGTTAATGGGTGCTCATACATATATGTATTCATAGCTGGGGCAAAAAGGAGAGGTCTTTGATTGTCCCATGCTCGTACAATACAAGTCTGCAGAAAAGTTAGTATTTTATTATACCGAAACCTTTAGAGGTAAGATATAAATTAAAAAATTAAAAAGCAAGTAGGCGGAAAATAACAAGCATTTAAGTGTATATATATTTTAAAATGTGACTAAAAAGACAAAAAGATCACCACCATATCATTTTATATATTACCAATAAATTATCACATATACCATTAGCAATTTTGGCTAATGTGTTGGCATCAAGAGGGGCAATTAGAAGCAGATCAGCCCACTTTCGTAATTCTATATGTAATACAGGATCCTGAATTTTAGACCAGGTCTGCAAAGACAAATGATTTAATCTTAAAAACTAAAAAAAAACGAGGGGGGTGGGAGGGCGGTTGTGGCATACATTTATGTTGTCTACATGGGGAACACAACAAAATTAAAGTTGTGATGTCTTCTTTACAGAAACATGTTGGATTATACTGTGTACACTTACCTCCCATTCATCCCTCTCTGTGAGAACAGGTACTGGGATGTCCTCTTTAGTGAAAAAATGTTGTGCGTGCTCTGTTGAGACAACTCTGATTTCTGACTATTGAAAAATTATCAATTCAAGTTTTAATTGCACCAACATAGAAAAAAAAGAAAACTAAGAATTAACTAAAATGCTGAGGGTGGAAGGAAGACTTTTATTTACAACTTGTCACAGGCTTTTCTCCTACCTATTTCATGGCACACACTTAAAAACAAAAATCAACCCTTGTTCCTGTAATTTCTATAATTTTATTGGTTCATAAGAGCTTCGCATCCAGTTTCAGACATCGCCATGTTGTTAGCCTGCTATTTTCTTTCGCGAATGCGCACACCCACACTATATTTTATATTTTTATCTCGCCTTTTTAAGACACACTCGCAACATACATTCATATACATTTAACTGTTATACAACTCAAAGCAACAGCTTTGATGCTAATTTCAAGGGTAAAAATGATGGATGCTAAATGAATATAACTAATAATTTAATTATCCCCAACACTGCTAGAAGTTTAATGAGGCTCTAGTGACATGATGAGAAATATTTGATTGGACCAACAAAGATTGCAGACAAAAAATGCTATACAGGTTGATGGCAATACCACCATGTTCTGCCACCATATCAACTGCAGTAGACTGATTGCATTAAATGTTAAATGGCTACAAGATAATACTTGCATTCTGGTGATGTACGTTATACACAATCAAACAAATGTGTAAAACTTCTATAAAGTCATCAGCAAAGTCTATCAAATTTGTTAGTTTGATTTTTATTTAAAAAAATACAAAATAATAAATTAGAAAGATTGAAGACCTTAGACACCTTGATTTTTATAACACAGAAATCTTCCATATTAAACCCTCTTTCTATGCTATTAACACTACAGAATTATGTTTATGGTATTTAAGGTGGATAAAATACAACAGAAAACAGTTGGTTTTCATAAACCTGACAGTCGATGTAATATTTACACACAAAACACACACATCATGCTACAACGACAATCAGAGGCAATTATGCTAGGAGAACATTCCAAATAACAAAAGAAAAAGCATTTACAGAAAGAAGATTGCTGAATGTGACAATAGAACATCCCTTGCAATTTTATGTGGCATAACATATGAGAACATATATTTTCTATTTATTGTGTAGCTTGTTTTAAACAAATACTAGACATTTATAACTGGAGTTGGTTAATTTATAAAAATTATCAGTTTTATGTCTAGAAAACCTTTTTGATATCGGCCTTCCGCCCATGTCTGCCTATTGTCCAGTCAGCCTTTTAGATGTCTGCCTTATTTCTTATCGCCTTTGTCCGTATACCATATTTCCAATGCTAAACCTTTTAATTTGATTGTCAGAAAACTGAAGTTCAAAATGGAATAATTTCATTGTTTGTATATGAAGTAGGCATATCAATATTATTGTAAGCCTAATCTGCTGATAATTCTAATAAAACTAGTTTGAATTAACTAACATTTACCTGAGGAAAATGCTCCAAAAGTGCCCGCACTAAAATTGGAACCTTGATAGAAGCAACACTTCCAGTACAACCTATCAGAATATGTAGTGACATCATATGGAGCGTGAGTTTGTCAAATGTTGATATTAATTGCAGTTTACCTGTTTGAATTTAATACAAATTAATTTCTTATAGTTTATAAAATATTCTTTGTAGAGCTATTATAAAACATAATTGTAAGAGATTACATTTGCCATTCCTACATCAGATGGGGAAGTAAACCCTCAAATCAATCGCCTTCCAGCAGATGTTCATAGTCTGAATCAACTGCCACATGATACTTAATTAGTTGGACGTATTGCGTGATCCCCACCAACAATAAAATCTAATAAGAACTAAGAAAAAATACAACTTTGCCATCACTTTTTTCTTTCTCATTTAACATTCCACTCCGAAAAATAAAAAATAGTAGTTACCTATAGTGGAAATATGAAATATTAATATACAAGTTGATAAAACAATATTATATTATAAAGGTATGTACATAATAAGTAGGCCTATAGTGAATTGAAAAAAATCTCTGTTTGTGACAGTTACCAGATTTAAATTTAAAGTACTCTACCCGTGCACAATAAAAGACAATGATGTAAACAAATTTGAAAGTTTATAGAACAAAAAATAAAAGAACGCTGAATAACAAATCACATGTGACATAGGTACAGCAAACACATAAGGCAGGAAACAGATTGGTACCGCAAAATGCATATTCGGTCTTCGCCGTTCATAAACTTTCTAACCAGACATCGTTCGGGGATTTTGTTTATACTGATAAATAGAGCAAGGTTTTTACAAGCTTCGATAGCAACATTTTTGTGGAATTCGTTTTTTATGACATTTTGTGCCGCGGCGAAGGATGCGAAGTATGCAAATCTGGACGGAATGGATCTACTTGGAAAGTACGTGTACTGCACTAATGAGGTAAGAAATAATATTTTGTAAAAATAACTATTATTTTTTATGGATTTTTCATTAGAAATGATTGCTGTAAATTATGAAAGTAAAAAAAAGTATATTTGAATGCGTTTTTTACTTTAATTTGAACAAAATGACTGCCGAAAATTACGACACATCGGCGTCGCTGAAAGCGGGAATTTCAGTTAATTTTTTACGGATATAAAATTGTATTTTTTTACTCCGAAGCATGTATTTAAATAACAGTTAAGTTAAATCTATTTAATTCTGTAAAATATAATTATTATTTTGCCGTAGATACTTTTTTTTATATTTTTAATGATTTTCTGTCGCGGAAAATCGGTATTCGCACCATGCACGCACACGTAGTAAAACTAGACTTATCTTTAAAACACGAGAATCTTGAGTACACTGCGAATAACAAAGTTTTTAAATTTTAGTTTACTTTTGACTTTAAGCCATTTGTTTTAAATCGAAATTAATTGATAATGTAATTATTTCAAAGTAAAAATTTTCCGTCGCAAATTGGCTTCTAACCTTCGCCACTGAACCAGCCTACGCACGACATTCGCGCGAGTCTGTTTCTTCGCAATAGTCTGTATAGTCAATAGTGTCGAGGGCTAATTCTAAAAAGAATCGAGTCCTTACTAATCTAATGTTTATTAAAATTAGGTACAATTGTTGGAACGCATGAGAAATAACAAATTAATATTTCTTTAAATCTATAGCCAAAAGAAAGTAGAACTTTATAACTCTGTAAATTATGAATCGAGTGACGGCTGTCGTGAAAATGGGAGCCATTTTACTCTTTTTTTTTTAGGGTGACCTACTTTTATTATATAATTTTAAAATTCATCTATTTGATAAGCAGCTGAGTAGCTGACTACGCATGCGATATGGCTGGCACGTTTTGGGATAGGGATCGAGTACACCATAGAATTTTTTTTTCTTAGAACTAAGCGTATTTTTTTTTAAAATCAAAAGATACTTACATATCAGTTGTTGATTTCAATTTCATTATAGATCTAATCACTAACTTCAGTTTTTAAAAGTGATTTTGCTTCTAGAACTAGCGTATTTTCAAAATTACGTAGATTCTAAATCTAGATCTATTCACTTACTATTTGACAACCGTGTCAGTAAAATGAGGTCACCGCTTCCAGATTCTTAGGTTTTAATTATGTTTGTCATTTTGATCTATTATAAGTAGCATTAAAACAACTGCATCTATTATCAACATTGTTTTTATATGCCAGTTCTAATTATACATTCTGTTCATTACCAATTCTAATGAAATCGTATCAGGCCCTAACACCCTGTTCCCCTACACTGACACTACACTTGAATGACGCCACAGACAGTCGTAACTTTAAATTAATGTTCAAAGTACTAAACAATTATAATTAGCCATGTAAATGCTGCAACTATATTAAAAATTGGCATATAGACATATTTTATTAATTATGTTTTTTATATAGACCTTCTATATTTAACTCTGTTATTTTTTTCTTCCCCAGAGTGTTTCTAAAAGCCAGAATTTTAAAGGGGAGGGCGGTCGTTTTTTTTCTCAAGAATAATTATAGAAATAAGCTATAAACTGGTATATTTTGTAAAGTTTGACATAATTACAAATAAATGTATGCCTAAGTAAAATTTCTGTGTAATTATATCGTTAATTTTGTGAATTTCGTGGATTTTTGGACCTCACTACATTTAGATGTAAAAAAAAATCTCAGTTGAGTGAGTGTGGTTAATCTACATTTTGAACGTGATGTAAATGTCTAGTGCTATTAATTTTTATATTTTTGAATTCCTCGATTGTTAAGCAACAAAATTGATATATAATATGTCAATATTTGTTACTTTGAAAATTGGCGAAAATCGACCCTAAAAGTAGATGCTTGAGGGTTGAATCTGTTTCCTGCCATAACTGTCATAACACAACACAAAATGCAACAACACTCAGAACAAAAATAACAACAGACTTTCTAATCGATTATAAGGCAAGCGATCATAAGTTGGGCAAATAATGACACTCCTCATTTACTTACTTCTTACAAGTTTTATTTTAAAATGAATAATATACTTTAAAAATATTAGATTTCTATACTATATAAAACAAGCTTATCTGTGGCGGTAATCTATCGTTTTAGGTACGTAAAATCGCCCGCGACTAGTAATGTGAAAGACAGGTGACTCCTTGAATTTTAATAATTATTTCACATTTTGAGGAGGATATATGTTTTGAAAAATACAAAAATGATTCCTTGTTTCATTTATGTACCTGTTTTTAAACAACTGAATTGAAACTTTTCAGTAATAAATGAAGACTAGCGATGTTTCCAACAGATGCAACCATGCTCATTTACTATAGCAGCCATCTTGTTTAAGTTCTTTTTTTGCAAACTTAAAGCGCCAGATTCAGGGGAAGGTAACTCTATTTTACAAATGGCTGCTGTTTATATAGGAAATCTTGCTCGCAAACACTGCTATTTAAAGTTAATTTCTGGTCTATATTGATATATTTAGCCATTGATTTAGGTTTATTATTCATTTATCTATAATATTTGACACAAATATATCACAATATACTTCTATTAAAGCCTTGACAGTGAGGCAACTTTTTCGCGCATTTCTAGCCGCGGGCGATTTTACGTACCCAAAACGATAGATTACCTCTGTGGCGTAGCATACGCCACTTAACTATTTAGCTTTTTTATTTTATATTTTTCAGTAATTCCAATTTTAAATTGTCTAAAAGCTAAATTATCTGCCCCTAATACCGTCAATAATTTGACCCAGCTCTACGATTGTAATATGATATGCTTTTGGGCGCCTTAGGACTTAAGCCAGGACCGTCCTTAGGCTTAGCAACGAAGAATTGTTAATTTTTGTTTATTATTTTTGTTTATTTTGTAGTATGTCCGTTTCTCTTTTTTAAGTATCTTTCTATCGTTATGCAAGACACCATCATACTGACTCTCTTACTAATAAACTAAACTGAGTAGCCTGTCCTATATCTATAACACAGGCGGGCATTTAGATCTAGATCTAGATCTAGTTTAGAATAAAAATAAAACTATTCATTTGTTGAGGCACAGATCTAGAATCTATATAGATATATAATATAGACAGAAGAACTAGAATCTGCTAGAGTCTAGGGCCTAATCTAGTTTAGTAAGTTTAGGTTCGGATGGACTAGTTACCGAAAGACTGACAACCTAACAATCTAGATCTAGATTAGAGTTCAATAGAATTAGTTTAACACCTTAACAAGATTCTAGATCTAGATATGTGATACATCCATTGATCACTGACACCAGCAGAGGGTACAACAAACTATTTCGATTTTTTTTGCAAGCTGACAGATAAAAAATCTTCATTCCCAAAATTACTATTTCTAGATCTAGAATTCTAGATGGGCTATAATATTAGATCTAGATCTAGGCCCTATAATTTATGTCCATGACTGAGACTATTAAAAAAAATTCAAATCAAGTGTAGATGCGACTAGATCTAGTAGATTTGTAGTATAAATATAATTGATGTTTAATTTATCTTGGTGCTATTAGAACAAAGATTTCAACCTAGGACTATGTTTATAATTTCTTTTTAGCAGTCATTAAATTGGTCTTCAGCAAGATCGAACAGTGGCTAAATTAGCTGGGGTTGACAGATTAAGTAGGCTATATATTAGATCTAGATTAATAGGCCTAGTCATTTTACAACTTCCTTGCTAGACTAAAAGTGGTAGATCTATTTTCTGGCACAAATCTTCCCTCTCAAAGTTTCTCAATCAAGTCAATCAAACAAAAGCTTTCCCTCAAACAAAAAAAAAGAATTTTTAAAAGAATTTAATGGCACTTTCACTTTACAAAATCGTATTGGCAAACAGTTCACAGAAATTATAATTTTAACGCAAATTGTTCATGCAGAGTTTAATAGCACTTCACTTCAATGAAGACAGAGCTGCGCTACTGTTTTATACTGTATGTGACTGGAGGATGTTCCACATGGATGCCTGAAATGTAAAAATGATTTTTTAAAGATTTAAGAATTTATAGTAGAATGTGCAAAAAAAAAAGTACAAAATTTACAGTTCAAACATTTAGGGTTATAGAAAAATAATGGCAAGTGTGCAAAAATAAATAAATGTCAAAACTACACTTCTAAATAGATGAACACACATTATAATCAACCCACCTGTATGGAATAATAACACATATTCATCTGTCAAATCTGCACAATTTTTACCTGTTTTGCCCGAATAGGGATGGCTGAAACAATTAAAATCCAAACAACTTATCCAAGACAGTTTTTTCCTTGGATTCTGCTTTACTTCAAATTGCTCAACTATTTCCTGTGTGTACAAGAAAAACATTAAATTATACATAAATGTAAATAATGAAAATGGACCCTGAAAGCAGAGAAATTACAATCCGTAACATTTATTGCTCTCAACATCACATAAAATAAGCCAAGGGAAGAAACCCAGAAAACATGGAGGGCATACCTCTGCTTTGCTATGTCCACATTTCTCAAATGGCTCTTGTAGTTCTGCTCTGACCAGCTAGTCACACAACACTAATTAAAATGAAAAACTAATAGGTCTTTGTAGTGGGATGGCGAGTAACTTCCATTATGGCACCTGAAATAAAAACAAATTTAATGTTTGCAAAAATAAAATTGTAAAAAGGCTATCCAAAATCAAAGTAAATAAAAGGTTATACTAAAACCTGTTGTCCCTCTTGACAGATTTTGCTCAATCACCATGTTTCACACTGTACTGTAGTTCTGCAAATTTCATTTAGGCTACTGATACATGTTTATTCTAAACAATGTTGAACTATCCTATACGATTAGAATAAAAATTTAAATATTTATGGTGACTGGAATTTATTGTCCTGAGTGTTTAAGAAAAATAAATTAGAGAAAATGTATGCAGAATTAACCTGTCTGTAAACAGCTGTCCAAATTAAAATATGGTCAGCCTATTTTGAAGAACAGCTACCTATCTTCTTGCATCATACATCAAGTAACTTTCCTGTGCTGTAGATCATGCACCTGGTTCGTGCTTGTTTTGACCACATTCACCCTTTTAAATAAAAAATACACAAAATTTATGATGCATGTGGGGGGGGGGGGGGAATTTCACTTTTAACAGTAATAAATTACATCAAAGTACCAACCTATCTGGCACATGTATTCCTCTTGATATATGGGATTATATGACATCACAGTCAGGGGAAGGAAATCTGCAAACAAACATCACATCCCTGCCTTGCTAGAAATTCAATGCCAGTTTCCTGTTGAGGTGCTAAAATTGAAAGCAAAAATAATTTTTTCCTTTATTTACCTTCCTGGAGAATTCTTGTACGCTACGTGTTGTTAAGCAATCTACAATGCTTTTCTGGCCATCTAACTTGACAGTTACACTAGTTGAGACCATTCAATGGATGGCAGCTGAGGATATTTTGAAAAAAAGCCCAGGAAATTAATGGGAAACTTGCATTTGGATTTTTGATGAGCATAAAACAGAAGACTAACATTTGCGATGAAGATTCTAATTATATCCCTACCTCTAAATGGATAAAATTTGAAATATAGACTATAGATGACATTTGAAATCTGTAAAGATTCTAAGTTGTGAGAACATCCATATAAAGACTAAGAAAGCAACCAAGAAAACATGGACATGCCTCAAATACCAAGCTGTGTTATCGCCTGTAGATGTGCTCTGACTGTCCCAAATACCAAGCTGTGCTGTCGCCTGTAGATGTGCTCTGACTGTCCCAAATACCAAGCTGTGTTGTCGCCTGTAGATGTGCTCTGACTGTCCCAAATACCAAGCTGTGTTATCGCCTGTAGATGTGCTCTGACTGTCCCAAATACCAAGCTGTGCTGTCGCCTGTAGATGTGCTCTGGCTGTCCCAAATACCAAGCTGTGTTGTCGCCTGTAGATGTGCTCTGACTGTCCCAAATATCAAGCTGTGCTGTCGCCTGTAGATGTGCTCTGACTGTCCCAAATATCAAGCTGTGCTGTCGCCTGTAGATGTGCTCTGACCACAGCTTCACTCACAAAACATTCCTCTACAAAACCGGATGTGTCTGTGTGTTGGTATTTCCTTAAATGCACCTTTAAAGTTCGAAATCAGAAATTAAAAATGCAAGTCAAAATAAACATTAAACTTAACTTGCAAGGAGATTCCTGAACGGGTATGTGAACAAACACCAAATATACATACCTATAAGAAAATCAGTGCATTGACAGATTGGCAGCCCCACATCAAAGATGGTAGACTATTCAAGGTACATTATCCTTTATCTTCCACATATCCTCACAATAGGCCCATAGGGGCCAGTAGTGTGCATTACATTTCATGTATATGAAGGCAAGTTAAAAAAATGAACAAGAATTTCAGCCAAAAAAGACCCTTGCTAGCTATATGTGAGTTGGACAGCCCAAATTTTAAGCTGTTTAAGTTCTATACATTATATCAAGAAAGGCTATAAAAAAAGATGCTATGGTCAACTTGCCTGTCCAGACAGCTTCGGCTCCTCTTGACTTGATTTGACCTGGCTAGGGAAGAGAAGAAAACATGGAATTAAATTAGCTTGATTCCGAACACCACTCGACCGTCTCGAGTGCCCTCCCTGCTCCCCCCTACACAAGGCATCGCTACCAGGTGCATTGGATCATTACAGTTTGGGAAAGTGTCGGTCTCCGAGCACAAGTCGAACCACTTCCTCCCCACCTTCAGGCAGCGCTACCATCGGGAAGGGACTGGTAGCCCCGTTAGTGTGGAGAACAAGCCGCTAGAAAAAAAATGAAATGGAATTAGTTAACAATGACAGGCTGTGCTAGAAATAGAAATGGAATTAGTTGACAATAACAAGCTGCATGGGAAAAAAAAGAAATGGAATTGATTAGTTAACAATGCCCAGACACCGCTCGCATTATGAGGCCCCCGCTGCTCCCCCTACCCAAGGCAGCACTACCGAGTGTAAAGTTTCACAGCGTGGGAATGTGCTGGGATTCTCCATTACAAGTCGAACCACTTCATCCCCCCCGTTGGGCAGTGCTACCCTCCGAGAAGGAATGGTAGCCCTGTTAGTGCCGGAGACCTAAATACCTGGGAGAAAAGGGAGAGAATTTTATTAGTAACATCAACAGCTAACTTAACCATCCACCTAACATTAACAGCTAACTTGCTCCTGTAGACTGGCTCCTGTAGACTTGCTCCTGTATGCAGCCTCATGTATGCAGCCTCCTGTATGCAGCCTCCTGTAGACTGGCTCCTGTAGACTGGCTCCTGAAGACTGGCTCCTGCATGGGCCCACCGGTGTGATACAACCACTACTCGCCCACCCATCAGCCCCCGCCACTGGCTGGCTAGACCAATCTTGCGAACCTCCGAATGGGGTTTCCTGGCCAACACATCGGAGGGGGGACATGCCGCTGACCCATTGGTGATATAACCCATAGTAACTCATGCTTTCGAACCCCCGCCACCGGCTAGCCAGACCGATCTTGGGAGCCTACGGCATGTGCGTTCTAGGCGCACACCTCCGGGGATCCTCGTGAAGATGTGACTCCATCCCAGCCCGGCTGGACCAGTGAGCGCTAATTCCCAGAACTGGCACACAAGAGCAATGCACCGTCAGTATGGGGCTTTTCACGACTACACTCAAGGGGACATCGTCACATGTGCCGAAAACTGTAAAATATAAAAATAGAGCAAAAAAAAGTTAGTTAACAATACCTAACAAACAAGTAGGACTGTCCAACTACATATTGTAGCAAGTGATGCGCTGAATTCGTGAAATAAGTAGGCGTATTAAAGTTAACAGCAGTGATATGAGAAATATGTAAACTCCAGGAAACGAATGAACAGCTAGCGACGGCGTTTAGTCCAGTATATGTAAACTCCAGGAAACGAATGAACAGCTAGCGACGGCGGTTGGTCCAGATTATGCCTTTACATGCCATTGGTCGACCTTGGCTCTAACTTTTTTTTATTGTGAACTGTATTCACTCACGTGACAAACACATGACTAAAAAACTACTCCCCCCAAAAAAAAATCAACTCAAACAACAGAAAACCTGTTTCTTATTTAATTGACTTGTGTTTACCTCCCCACCCCCTCCACATTAAATTTTTTTGGTTGTGTTTTACAGGTGGAAAAATTAACTGCAACCTTTGTGTTAACAAAAAATAATGACGGTATTCATTAACAATCTTCACGGATTGCTGACTACATTATCACCCCTCCCCCTTCTCAACCCTAATTTCTGACAATAAGTGTAAACCTTTCAATACCACCACCAATCTAACACACCTGTTTTCTGATGAGCCAATCGTCGGACTTCGGTCGCTAATCTCAATACTCCAAATGGTTATATATGTGAGCGGCTGGAGTGTGTAATTATTAGCAGGGCTTACACAGACACACAACGAGATACAGACACACTGACAGAAACACCGACAGAACACACACACACACATAGAGACACAGACAGACACAACGAGATACAGACACACTGACAGAAATACCGACAGAACACACACACACATAGAGATACAGACAGACACACAGGCAGAAAACAGACCGACACAATCAGACAAACACACACATAGGGGGGGGGGGGGGGGAGGTACAGGGCTGTATGTGGTACAGGGCTGTATATGATGTGGTACAGGGCTGTATGTGATGTGGTACAGGGCTGTATGTGATGTGGTACAGGGCTGTATGTGATGTGGTACAGGGCTGTATGTGATGTGGTACAGGGCTGTATGTGATTTGGTACAGGGCTGTATGTGATGTGGTACAGGGCTGTATGTAATGTAATACAGGGCTGTATATGTTGTTGTATATAGGCTTATGACATGTTCTGGGGCTGTACATGATTTATTACATTGTGTCAAAGTAATAATAGGCATACCGTTATGTCCTATCATAAATCTTTCACATTGTAACATTAGCTGCTTTTTCCAATAGAGAATGTTGTATAAAGTGAGGGCGGGAA